TTACATCTGAACCCCACGCCAATGAACCTGAATGATGCTATGCATGAGAAAAATCCCTACGGCAGGAAAAGACAGGCTGAAATGACAGCCTCAATTAAACCCAAGAGGTAAGGGTATCTCCTGTGCCTCACAAAGCTGAATGAAAAGGTCTGTTACTGGTATTTTGGATCCAGGGTTGTCTACAGCTTGCTGAAGTTTAATACCAAAGACTGCTACTGGGAGATGTTAAGGACTGAAAACTGGGAATAAACGAATAAAGGGGCACTAGAAGTCAGAAGACAACAGTGCAAACAAGTGAAGGATGAAGGATAGAAAGGGTGTTTTCATTACTGCCTGTTTTTTCCCAYGGGATTACTACATTATCCATAGTGCTGGATGGTCCCATTCTAGGAAAAACTCAGGTCCATTGTTTCCAGGATTCCTGATTCACCTGTTGCAGAAGTACATTTCTAGGTTCTAAGGAAGGAGAGAGGGAGGGAAGGTGCACCACAGAAAACAATGCAGCTGTGGAGGAACTGCATTCTGTGCTGCCCTCTGGTAGCAATCTTTGCCTCAAGTTGAACTAATATCTGAAATCACGCTGTCATAGGAAATTCCATTAGATTCTCTGGTTTTTATATGGCTGACACAAAACGTAAATATAAAACAACTCAAACAGAAACTTTACTTCCAAGTATGAAGCAAGCATTTTATTCTTCAGATAATCACTCTTCTATGCTTCTAAGAACTCAAAATATTAGATATTTAGCCTAYTTCAAGAGATGAACCTTGGCTCATCTCATCTCATCATGAAACAAACTGGTTCTTGAGTGAGAATTTTAGTACCAGCATGATCTGAGCATGTGTAATGCAGTACAGGAGCAGGATACTAGGTACAACCAAAAATCCAACCTCCTATTGCTAATAGCTACCATGTCAGCTGGATGCAGATCATTTGGAAAGCTATTATTAGTCATGTGGGAAGTGTCTTGCAGAAAAGAGCTCTTATCTGAATTGCTGAAACCAATGCTTCCTTATCAGCTCAGATACTTCTGCATTTTTAAAATGCAGGCAACATCAGTTTCTTCCTTAAACACCTTTCAAGTGTTCACAACMGCTTTCTGAAAGAAATGAGAGGGCTAAAAGCTTCTACTCAACCTGCACTATTATRCATTTGATTTCAAGCCCATCTCTTGCCACTGATTTAGGTAAGCAGTGACTGTTGTAACAAGTCAGAAATCCAGCTCCTATGACAAAATAATACAGCTTTAATATCCAGCAGTAGAGAGGAACATGGTGATTTAAAATAGTCAAAAAACTTTTTCTGGAAATTCAGTCATAACTAAGTGTTGAAAACGACAACCMCAGAGGAAAATATTTGAGGGACAATAACAAGGGCTCTAAAGTCTATATACCTTTACCGAGATAGACACATAAATAGGTGCCTTGGCTTCTTAAAAGTGTGAAATTCAGTGTCAYCTGCTAACACGAACAGTACTGGCTTGTCTATAGATAATCTAAAGCCCAAGGAGACCAGCAGAGCTCACAGGTAGGACATGGAAATTTCAGATCCACTGGCAATCCACAGGTGCTGTGCATTTTCTAAGCCCTGTTCTGACACAGCAAATACTTAGTGAGGCAATGTAAACAGAAGTGATCTAACATGTAAATGTTGCTTTACACACAACACCACATTCTAACAATTCTGCGAATTTTCAGTCTCCTGTTAAAAAAAAAAAAAAAAACGAAACATCAAAGCAAGACTAATTGGCATGAAAATCACTATTATATTTCAGCTCAAGCATTGCTTTTTAAAAAGCAAACAAATGGGACAGTTAAAAAAACCCCAAAAAACAGGTTTTGTGAAATTTATCCTTGGGTAATACTTTTTTGCTTACACTGTACCATATAGCTCCGCACTATATAGCTCATTATTTGTGCCCTCATACATATTCAACAGGCACATATGCCAGTACTGACACACAAAATCAATTATTACCTAGCTCAATGAAATCTTAGTTTTTGCGATATTATTGCTGATTGGTCATCAAAACAAAGCCCAAAAAATTACCATGTTCTGGTATGCAGGAATGCTTTAGATGACGTATAAAATTCCTCTTTGTTTTGCACACTCCTTAATTTTTCCCTCCAGAAAATAACTGCCAAGAGTAGCCACATTTGGAATGGAATCTTCAGACAACAGCTCAAAAGCTTCAGTAATGCGACCATTTCTACAGTGCCCACAACCTACCTAAAATGTGACTTTTGGAGGGAAAGAAGAAATTTCAGTTTGCATTCCCATTTGTCTTGACCTCTCTCCTAAATAAACAGATGGAGCARTGGTTACCAGCACCAGCTGTAACTGTTTTAGAGACATGGAATCCTATCCAGTAGGAATCAGACTCTGGCTGTCAGTACTTTTCCAAAAGGCTACAAGCAGCACCCAGAATGCAATAAATCTTTTTTATTTCCAACCTTAGCTGGTTTCAAACCAACAAGATACAGTCAAGAGTTTTCTACCCCTTTCACCCACTCCATAAAGCACAACCTGACAACCCATGTGGTGTTTGAGAAATCCAGAACTCCAGATGCTAGTACACATAGGACACAGGAAAAATCCCTGAGGCGGGGTGGGGGCAGAAGTAAACTGCATACAGGTGCACCCCAAAGTATGGGGGAAAAAGATACTATCACCCGCTAATACAGTTATATACAAAGATATGATATGTACAGATGCTAAAAGATAATTACCCATTCAGTACTGGAACTTGATTTCTTCACCCACACAGCTAAATGTTTCCTGATCAGAATAGAGCTGGACAGCTCAGAAAATCAGGGAATGCACAGAMTGAAGAAAGAGTTTGTGGGTACAGCTGTACTGCAGAGGTAAAGCATGATGCTGAGAATCTCAGGCCAATCCGCAGAGATTGCACTTCCTGGCCCTGAGTGCTGCATTGTCTGTGGCCTTACCCTGTCCTAAGTTTGAGTCTTGAATACTCAGAGGATCTGCAAAAAATAAGTACTAAAAGCATCAAGGAGTGCAAAAAGCAACTTCCAAAATGACACAAATTCTCAGCTAGTGTAARTCACCATAGATCAACTAGAGGCAGCTACACTAGTGGAGACTTACATTTACAAGAATGCTGTGCTGTAGGTTGAAAGGCTCACTTAATTTGCAGCACAGCTTAAAATGATCAAACCCCAAGTGATCTTGTGCTAGTACAGGACCTGAAAGCCTTGCTTTACAAATTAAATACTTAACAGTTATATAGCACACTTCTACAGAGCATTATTCCACCTTCCACAGCCTGTACATACGTGGTGGTAGAAAAATAYATCTGGTAAACATAATTTTTAAAAAGCTAATTAATATCAATGGCAAACCATCTTAAAAGGAGTAGCAATAACCAGTGCACTTACCAACAACCAAATACATAAACATGTTTTCAAAGTGTCCACATTCAYGAGCTTTAACTGCAATATGCTTTCCAACCTTTGAGCATAAATTTTCCAACTAATTTAGAGGCTGCAATAATACATAAATACTTTCTGCTAGCTCAATAAGAATTTTAAAAGCTTTATMATTTTAAAAATATTTTTATTTTAAATTGGTGAATGTTCAAGAAAATGTCTGCAAGGACTTATTCCTTGCCCTATTGATAGAAAATGTAACTCTGCATTTGGCCTTAGATCAACAGTGATGGGGGATCARTTACTCAGTAATGCCCTGCTGTACACCACCATGTTTAATTGTAACACAGGGCACTATTAATACCTAAATACACTTTTACTGGAACAGCAAAGTCTTAAAAAAGAAAAGGAAATTCAAGAAATATGAGCAATATTTAATCTTAAAATGTAGGGAGTGTTTCATCAGTTCCAACTCTGCTAAATTAAATAAAGCCCTTGTTCGTTTGCCTGTCCTCAGTAATTAAAATAAACTGTTTTCAAAACCTGGAAGATGCATCAACTTTCAATCAGTGATAAATGTAAACAGGAAAAAAACTGGTTGGGTTTTCTGTCCCATAGTATGTATTGCAGAAATTACAATTGAGAAAACATTTTAAAATGTGTATAAAATATACGAATTTTTGTACAATGGAGCTGTAGGTTTTTTTCGGTAACAACATACCTTTTAATCAAAAGTGGCCTATCTTTACTGATTTCAGTGGAACTGGGCCGCTCCACAACAGCTCCAGAATGGTCAGGGCTTTATAATATGCTCCAACACACTCCATCAAAAATATTGAAAATTAAAAAAGAAAACACTCCCTTGTTTTTCTCTCCAAAAGCAARATGTACTGTTACAGGTGAAAGACTTCAACAGATGCATAATAAAAACATTCTGGTACACATTTAAGAAAAACCCAAACAAACCAACAAACCAAACCAACCCCCCCCCAACATTTGTAAATCCAACAGTCTAGACAGACTATCATCTTGAARCCTAAAACATCAAAAATCATAGGATCTACTTCTCACTCCGTATGTTCTTCCCTCCTCCAGTTTCAGCCTAATTCTTAATTTAACTCATTCAAACATCTCTGCCAGAGAAAGTCAAAACAACAATGTCAAATTTAAGAAAATGCAGAAGGTGTTAAGCATAGCAATACAGTGCCAGTCTACATGGCAGTGTATTAGGAGCTAAGCTGAATACCAACCACCTCACCCAGACAATGTTCAAATACCAATGATAACCTTGTTCCCTTACTTATTTTATTCATCTGCAAAATAACATTTTGTTTTCCTTACAAGAGGTCTTAAAGTTTCATTTTACATGTAAACCAGGATGTGACACTTAAGACACACACAAAATCCATGTATGCTGACTGATAATCTGTCACAACTGGCAGTGTCAAGTATAACAGCATTTAATTTTATGGTGGAAAGGCATCACAGGTTCCACACCCCACCCCCCCCCATGAATACTCTCTTGATTTATACATCTTTATACATGCTTACCAGTATGCTTAAATTGGCCTTTCTTGAATAATTGAAATATAAAGCAGGTATTAACTTACCTTGCGCCCATCACTTGCATGGCAGTTCACATTTAAAGGAGTCAATAAAGCCATCAGCTTTTCTTCATTACCACTCCTGTAAGTGAGGAGAAGATTATGGAAAGGGGGRAAAAAAGACAGAGATCTTGGATATCCAGCTCCTTAGTAAGTGTTTTGCAAAGTACAGTATATTGAAATTTGTACTGTGTCAGAGAGAATGTCAGATGGCTAAAGAATCTTCTGACCATTTCAAAACCAAGGGTAAATACAGAAAAGAATACTAAATTTGCAGTTAAATGTATTGCAGATCATGCAAAAACACCTCAGTTTTTYCCTTAATCTCATATTTCCTTTATCTAATTTTTCAGATCCTCTGAAAGCCATTTGTAGAAATAAATGCTCTGAATTTAACATATTTTCACAGCATATGGCCCATAACATTTGAAACAACTACATACCACTATCCAGAATCTTTTTAGAAGGGTTAACGGTCTATATAAAATGATCTTGTGCAGTCAGAAGGAAGGATGAAAAGCATCTTTGCAATATACAATTGAACTTTACACCTTTTGTATAGGCTTCGTTATGCTCTGTTCCGATAAAGCCTATTTTCAAAATACAACCCACASTAGCACTAAAAACCCAAAGAAAAGACAGATTCCAATATTTAAATTGCCCCTAAAAAGAACAGTCACAAAACAATAAAGAGGATTTAAGCAGCTTAAAGCAAAAACTCAATATTAACCTTATAACCACCATAGTGGGGGATTTCAATTACATAAACAGGCTTTTACATTTGTACCAGACTAAAGTCTGAAGAGATTTATGCTAATTAAGAGGTTTGCTTGCAGCATTTCATGGAAARGCAATGACAAAACATTACTATTTTAAAAACCCCTTTTCCTCGCCTGCTTCCACCCCCAAAATATGTTTTATATTCTAAGCAGCACTCACCTAGCAGCTTCCAGGAGTTCGTCCTTCTTGTATTCACCTAAATGATTGCAAAATATCATGCTGTTAGCATTTGGCAGAAGACAGATTAAGAAATGCAGTAGGAAGCAAATACAGAATTAAAACAGAGAAGAGGAGAAAAAAGCCCACACCCCGCTGGGTGATGGAGCTGTGACGTTAGCCAGCTTGTGGAGGCAGCATCACCAGTACCTTGGAGACGGGCAGCAAATTGACGCATCTTCTTGTCCAATCCTCAGATGGAAAGGCTTTCTTCGGACAACCAATGACTGCGAAATCTTGTGTCCAGAAACACAGTCCCGCTGATAACAGCATGTCAGCTGAAGACAATGTCCCCACCCCCTGCCCTATTCAGTATGTCACATTATACTTGGGAAGCATAATAAATTCCAAGACAAAGCAAGGCAGTGCGGCTTTTGAAAAGGTACAAATTACTGATCTCCAAGGCTCTCACCTGCCTATTTAAATGGTAATATTATACTTCACTAAGTTCTTTACAATAGTAGGGATTATTAAAAAAAAAAATCCAGGTATGATATCATCAGCCGCTTTCCAACAAAATACACGWTTGAAATAAAAAGCACAGACAAAAGAGGATGAACTCTGCAACAGATTTTGCTATGAGACTCTGAGATTAGAGATAACCATGAGTAATGTTAAAGCAACATTTACATTTGAAGTCCTGAGTTAAAACAGATAGCTCAAAAGGGTTGCTGCATCACAGGATTAAAACTGCATGTTAATATTTTAAAAAGAGCATGGTACAAGATAACCTATGAAAYTAAGACAGTATTCTACAAAGCTGAATAATGATGACATTGTGCAATACAAATGAAAGGGAATTTCAATTCAGAAATTACCAGAATAGCTTTTTAGCAGCGTTATAAAGTCACAGAGCAGAGCGTATCTGAGACCCAAAAGGTACAGGGTTTGAAAAACATACTGTATACCATCTGCCAGAGAATTAAAGCCTCTAACCACAATGCTCKAAGAAAAATAAGAAGAAGAAGCTGTCATGAAAGAAGATAAAAAACCTTTTGTGCTGCCTCCTATGTGTAATTGTAATAAGCCTCCACTGAAACTCCCATTACAGGTGAGGAAAGCCGCTGGGCCATGGAAAATGCCAGACTGGACTGCAGACTGCAGGTAAGATGGAAGGTTCATCTGAAAACATCCCTTAAAAACATCTGCAGGGTGCAAAGAGAGGGTTAGTCCCCATCCATCAGAAACAGACGGGTACTCCCCCCCACCACAGCTCCTCCAGCTAACAGCAGAGGGTGAACGGAACCACAAAAAAMCAGCCCTCTCCTCAAGGAGCCCCCTTTATTTCAGCATTCTGCCTTCACACAAGGGTAAGGAGAAGGAGGGTGAGTGCACATAGCTATGCACTTACTGCCCCATTCCTTGGATGTAGCCAGGGAATTTTCAAAGGCAGTATCTGTATCTCATCATACTGGTGATTTTTCCTTCCGCAGRTGTGTTTAATTACTTTCTGAATGATATTCAGCTTTAGGAATTCACAAYAACCTGCAGCAGGGAGTTCCACCATGTCTCTCACATGATGGGTCTCCTGACAGAGCTGTTCTGTGCTGCTGAAGCCCAGCAACAGAGCARATAAGTTCAAAGCAAAGGTGAAACTGTTTATTTCAAATACAGGCCAGGAAGGTTAATTTAGCTTTTGACAGAATTTATGTCTATGTTAAAGAATGCTTCAACATGAGACAAGTCAAATGACACAGAAATATGACTGCCTTTGACTTGCTGCCACTCCCCAGCTTCAGCAGAAGGGGGACCTGTCCACCACAGGCAGCAGCCTTTTCTAAGCCATGGGACATGCTCCTCTTTTTTTTATTTTAATGAATATAAAATACTGGGCACAGTTGTGAGTGTTTCAAATCAATGGTAAGTGAAAAGCTTTGGCCAGCATGTGAGGAAAGAAAAAAAGGCTCTTTATTACTACTGCATTATTTGTGCAACAATCTCAAACAGCTGGATTTCCTGCAGTAGAGTTATTGGCCTGTATTATATCAACACTTTAAAGACCTAACCAGATTAAAATACCTCTTTGCACATTCTGGTTTGGCAGTGCATCTAGCAGTCCTGACCAGGCTTTTGAATATACTAGGTTAGACATTTAATAATAATATTTTTTTCCTTTGTGCTCAGTAAATTGGTATTTTATCACACAAAAACTGTTTCCTCTAATTTYGATTAGCAGAAGAACAACAAAAAAGGTAGGTTGTGGCTCTTGATTTAGAAATGTGCTCCATATGCATAATTAGATCAGTTAGTTTTACTAAGCAGTACTTTGGGGAAAAAAAAAWGTATTCATAGATAGGGTTGAAATTCATACATGCAATTCTTCAAATTCATCATGATTCTCCCACACTGATTAGGATTTGGAAAATATTATCTTGTAATTGGTTAACTTTATTATTCTCAAAGAGCCACTGTATTTTGTAAAAAAAAAAAAAAAAAAAAAAAAAAAAAAAAAAAAAAAAAAACAACAAAAAAAAAAGCCAAGTGTGCTCTACAGGCTTTGTGGGATGAAGAGCAAACCTTGGCCACCAGAGCTGCCAGCTGGTGGAATACCACAGAGCCAAGAGAGTCTGGCTCRTGGCATTTGGGAGAAGCACTGCCCGCAGGACCGACTGCTGCTGGCACAGGCTGYGTTCCCACCAGAGGGCTCTGCCAACACAGCTAACACCGCTTGGCTACGCAGCTTATCAAAGGCCATCCTGCAGCAATTGGCCGCAGCTACCTAATAAAATATGCATTTGCAGAGCATTTGAAAACAAACCATGCRTGCAGGGGCAGAGATGAATTTCAAGTTCTAAGCAGAAGTACAGGAATACAGACCATCAACCTCACATAATGCTTCTGTTCAAAGAATGTCAAACTGACTTTAACTAAGCTAATAACACCACTTAAAGAGCTCCTTTGGACAGGTGGGATGAATTTACAGAATTTATAGTTTTGCATCTCCATCCTGGGTAGCCAAGAGATAACTGGCCTGAAWATTTCTTAAGGCAAAGACAAGGTGTGAAATGTGGAGCAGAGAACACTATAGCAAAGCAGTGTTCCCGCTCCTCTCTCATCAGACAAAATCTGGTAGGCAAGCAGAAACCACCCAGTGTCCGGTATTTACTGCATCTGATCAAGTGCATTGTTTACAGCTTGCTCAGCATTCTTTAAACCATGAAGTTCTCTACTTGATCCCACCTCCAAATCACACCACTGCTGCTCCATTTATGCTGAAGCTAGAAGGTCACCACTGGTARCCACAGATAATCAGTGTTTCAAATCACAGCTACCATCAGACAACTAACTAGCTCTTTCTCTGTTCCTCTCCCAGGAAAAACCAGTTATCTCCAATGCCTCTGATCAGCTGTTGCTATGCGGTCACTGCTGTGTCTGGCCCTAGCTACATTCTGCAGTAGCCGATTAGCAGCAAATGCTTATTAACTATCAGACATCAGTGACTGCTTGCACCTGGTGGTTGAGTAGATCAGAAGCTGGAAGCTGGGAAAAAAGCAACATAATTAATCAATCTTTACAAATAACCCTATTTAATTCTCTCCCAAAAGTCTTCAATTTCAACTGAATACTGAAGGCTGGAAAACCTATCTGAATGCATTGCATAAAACAACAGCGCTTTTTCAATGCATCTACACYCAAACCCAAGGTGATTTCCTTTTCTATCCCTCCATATGGTCAGCTAATACAGAAACCAGCGAGATCCAAAATGTCAAGCTGGACAAAGCAGGGTTTGCTTTACCATAGCATCACAAGTTTTCCACAGTGAGGACAATTTCCTAAATCTTAACATCACACAAATAAAACCAAGCCATTATTATTATTATCCAATGGCAGCATATAATGGGAACAAAAATAATTAGCATATTCTCAACCAAACTTAGAAACTGAAGTGGTTTTCCCATATGAAGTTGTGCATCATATGGAATCACAACGATAAATTTAGATCCCCGGAACACTTACAAACAGTGTGAAAAATTTCTACACTAACCAATGCTACCCTGCTTCTGATATGTGACAAAACACAAGCCTGATGAATGTSAAATGATGGCCACAGGTTGGGGAGGGCCTGCCCTGAAAACCCAAACTTCATTCCTGAAAATATACATCCCAYGAGAAGATTGGCAAGATCTTTGTGAACAGTCCAGATTTTTATTTTTTTTTAATAAATCTTCACAATTACCCAGCAACACAGAGGACACGGGCTCTCCATCAGAGCAGTACAGACAGCAGCTACCAGAATCTCTCATCTTTCCTCATTTAAAAGTGTTTCTGGTGCCTTTCCAACCATATATTCTGCTAGCACAGGAATGCACAGGGCTGTTGGGAAAACAGCAACAGAGTCCTGATGCATCTGGGAGGACTGATAATTTGTTTTTCTGTCAGATTTGTTACTTTACCCAGCTCAGCCCATGGCCATCCAAACAGGCCCCAGTGAATGAGAACCTTGAACAAGGATGGTGCTGTGACAAGAGGGAGGGAAATGGAATCTCTACATTTGGGCTGCCGTTGCTACAAAAGCAAGCAATCTATGAACCAGAATCCAAACTCAGTTTAGCAGAGAAACAAATTCCACAGAAATAAATTAAAATACACCCTTCCCCTGACACTCTAGAACTTCCCAGACCTATGAGTGATCAGTGACACACATCCATCATCCTTTTGAATCCACTGAGGTCCTTGGAGCAATATTGAAGTATTCAAACAAATATGCAGTTTCTGATCAGTGCACAAGGCTTTTTGTGTTTGCAACAAACAGGATTGTGGAAAGGGTTGAGTTTTTGGAATTTTTTTAAATATAATTTTTCTGGAAAACTCAAACTTTTCAATATGGCTGCTTTTGGAAGGGTCCAATCAAACCATTAAAATACTCATCAAGTCTTTCTTCCCCATTTAGCTTTTAGTATATGTAAAGCAGCAGGTGAAACTAAAATATGGAGTTAAATCAGAGCAAGAAGGTTTTTTATCATCCAAATATCATCCACA